TATTTAGTGAAAATGAAAATTTGGCAGTAAAATATAAAAGTTTTTCTAGTGATAGGTTGATGGCAAAGATAATTACCAATAGAGAAAGCTTACAGCTTAATGATTCATGATGAAAGTTCTTGATTTTACAACATTTACAAAACCTTGATTGAGGTTGGATTAATGGTATTGAAGTATGGACTGGAAACATCTGGTTCGGGACGCAGTCCAGTGATGGGCTCTTGTGAAAACAATAATGAATGTTCGAGTTCTGTGAGAAACAGGGAATTTACTATCAGGATGACAATAAGCTTTATAGTAAGGACTCTGTTTCACGGAGTTGGTCAGAAATGAGAAATAGGAAGACATGTCAAAACGCTACATTGGGTCCAACCAGTCTTAAACCCTGGATTTTTGGCTCAAGAATCCAGCGCCTTATCCCTACATTTCCAGGTCTCCCATTTTAAGAGTAAGAACTACTTGTATATCTATGTCTAAGCCATTATATACCATTCTGGATAACATACAAACTAGTCTTATGTAAATTATTGCAGATTGCGGTTTCTGATATTCCCACCACCAAACTCTAATGCATGGCTGATTTCTTGGGGTTTCATCTACACGACTGTCTAATGCAGCGTTTCTCAACCGGGGTTCCCCGGAACCTTAGGGTTCAGCGAGTAATCACCAGGGGCTCTGCGAGAAATAGTAATGAATAGGCTAATCATATGTAAATGTATTTTTGTGTTGAATTTCATATTCGTAATTTCACTATACACGTACGACATATTCTTAGAAAATTCTTGGGTATTATAATAAGTCTTCAACCTGTTATGTCATTTAGAAGTATAATAATCTTAAGAAATATATTTAGCGGCGTCAGCGTCACACCGCCTTTAGTGGTCAGTGTACAGCAGCTGTACATGGCGGATTCACGTATCGAGTGACTAACTCGAGTACAGGACGCATGCGTTTACCAGTAGTTGATGTCGTCAAACTAGCCGAAGCCGTAGTAGAAGGCTGAGAGGAAGTGTACCCTGAAACCTGGAACACATGCACCAATGTACCAAAATTTAAAAAAAAGATAAATAAATAAAAAGAAAAAGAAACTAATGTGCTAATTATAAAGTAAATTGTATCATTACCAACAAAAGATATAATATACTTGCACATGCATTAAATTAATGCACAGTTTTAAGAGTAGTCAGTATGTTCATAGATTCAAAGCTGTGGTCTTATGGCAGAACTGGACTCGAGGAACATTATGTTATGTACAAACCAAAACACAAAAACTTCCATGCCAAATGGCAAGTAATATTGCATATGAGGCATTCAAAAAATGTCTTCAATCTAGAAATCTTCTTTAAGTGGAGCCATATAAGTCGAAGTGTACAATATATCAAAAATAGTAAAGGAGTCCCTGCACCTAAGTACCAAAAGTTAAGGCACGTAGGAGGAATGGTAATAAAGCTACATTCAGTCTTAACTTAAAAATTCAATGGAGGGAAGGGAACAGTTTAATGCTCTAGTGCAGCGTATCTCAACTGGGGTTCCGCGGAACTATGGGGTTCCACGAGAAATCACTAGGGGTTCCGCGAGAAATAGTGATGAATAGGCTAATCATATGTAAATGTATTTTTGAGTCATTTTTGTGTTTAATTTCATATTCGTCATTTTACTATACACGTACATCATATTCTTGGAAAATTCTTGGGTATTATAATAAAGTCTTCAATCTGTTATATCATTTAGAAGTATAATAATCATAGGAAATATATTTAGCGATATCCATACGGCGCCAGTGTGAAACCACCTTTAGTGGTCAGTGTACAGGAGCTGTATGTGGCGGATTCACGTATCATCAAGTGACTCAGTCGAGTACAGGACGCATGCATGGTCGCCATCAGTCCTGTCTGTGCTTTCTGGCGTGCAGGTACAGCCCCTCATTCACCCAGGTTATTTAGTAAATTTTACCCATCATTTATGGATGTTATCTGATTATATGAATTTTAAAAATTTAAGTATGTTTATGATTATTTTTGTTAATTTATGAGAAGTTTGTTTGTGTGTTTTCTTTCTCTCTCTCTCTGCCTTCCAAAGTTATTTCCTCTGTTTGCCTTTATTTGCTTCAGTTTTATTTATGAAGTTATTTATCTTCTTTCTTACAGTCTTTATTTTATTTTTTATTTTAGAGAAATGTCTGACCTTGCAATGTGGCAATTTTTGAAGAAGAAACATCCAGACAATTCTGAAGAGGCTAGTGATGAAGAATTGCTATCTCCTGACAAATTTCACTGCTCTGGTGCAAAAATGGGCACAAAAAAGGTTCATCTTTACAATGAAAGTTACTTATCAATGGACTGGTGATCCAGGATGTCCTATTCCAATGTGCCTTGTCTGTGGCAAACAACTTTCAAATGCAGCAATGGCTCCAGCAAAATTAAAAAGGCACTTCACGACAAATCACAGTCATATAAAAAATAAAAGTGCTGATTATTTTAAAATGCTATTGGAATCTCAAAATAAACAGAGTACAGCTTTTGTGAATAAATTCAGTGTCAGTGAAAGGCTCAAGAAGCAAGTTATCTGGTAGCAGAAATTATTGCACAGAAAAAGAAAAGTCACATAGTTGGCGAGAACCTAATAATGCCAGCATGTAAATTAGAGTGGGACAAGATGCAGTTTGAGAAATTGAAAATGTTCCACTTTGAAACAGTACAGTAAGTCAACGTATCGATGACATGTCGCATGATGCTGAAGAGGTTTTGTGTGATAAACTGAAAAATAGAAGTTTTTATATCCAGGTTGATGGGTCAACAGATCTTACCAATAAATGTCACGTTGTGGCTTTTGTAAGATTTGTCAATGAGGCTGAAATTCAATAAAACTTTTTCTGTTGCAAAGAATTGCCTGAGACAAGCAAAGGAATAGATATACTCAAAATATTGTCCTCATATCTGGAAGCAAAAAGTCTCTCCTGGAAAAACTGTGTTGGCATCTGTACTGATGGTGCCCCATCCATGGTTGGCTCCATAAGAGGATTTGTTTCTCACGTAAAACGAGAAACTACTGATGTTGTCTCAACACACTGCTTTCTTCACAGAGAGGTGCTGATTTCAAAATCTCTTGGACATGAATTGAAAAAAGTTTTTGATGATGCTACAAAAATGGTTAACTTTATTAAACAATGACCAGTTCACTCCAGAATGTTTAAAATCTGTGTGAAAACCTGGACAAAGAGTACATAAATCTCTTGCTACATACAGAAATCCGGTGGATGAGTAGAGGAAGAGTTCTAAATAGGGTGTTTGAGCTAAAAGATGAATTGCAGGAATACTTTCAAGAAAGCAATAAGCAAGATTTTGCCAAGTACATTGAAGATGAAAAATGGTTGCAGAGGCTGGCCTACTTAGCAAACATTCTTCATCACACGAATCAGCTCAACAAGTCACTGCAAGGGCCTGGAGAAAATATGTTGACTTCAAGTGACAAGATTCTTGGATTTAAAAGAAGACTGAATCTTTGGAAAAATCATGTTGCTAAAGGGAATCTTGAGATGTTTCAATCACTGGTGGGGCTTAAAAGTAAAGAAGGATATCAGCAAATTTCAAGTCTTATTGAAACCCACCTGGAAGAACTGTTGATCAAAATCGAAAATTATTTTCCTTCCCTTTCAACACAAGTGTATGATTGGGTGAGGGATCCATACTCTGAATCTTCTGCTCATCCTGAGAACTTGACTTTAAGAGAAGAGGAAGAACTCTGTGGGCTGCAATCTGATCGTACACTCAAGATGAGATTTACTGACCTATCCCTGGACAAGTTCTGGATTTCTGTAAAAGAGTATCCTGCCATTCATAGGGAAGCAATAAATATATTGCTGCAGTTTTCAACCGCTTACATGTGTGAGCAACGTTTTTCTTATTTAACAAGTATCAAGACCAAAGACAGAAATCGTCTCCTTTCAGTTGAAGATGAAATCCGTATGTATGGATTTCTGTAAAAGAGTATCCTGCCATTCATAGGGAAGCAATAAATATATTGCTGCAGTTTTCAACCGCTTACATGTGTGAGCAACGTTTTTCTTATTTAACAAGTATCAAGACCAAAGACAGAAATCGTCTCCTTTCAGTTGAAGATGAAATCCGTATGTATTTATCTAAAGTTCGACCCCGAATTAAGTATTTGGGTACCAAAAGACAAGCACAGGTTTCACATTAGAAAAGTAAATTTTATTATTTAAATTGGCTTCAAAAATAACATTTCCTTGACACGTATATTTGTTCATATGACATTTTACTTTGATTTATCTTATGCCTTTTCAATATTGTCAATAAACGATTTAGTTATTGTAATAATTATCTGTATTCGTTCTGTTTATGTGTTTTATATAGGATATTGGTTATTTATGTTTATTTTTTGTGTTTACAGATATGGGTTAATTTTTTGTGTGAATGAAAACCTTCGTATGAGGTCTCTTGAACAGGCAGTTTGATTTCAGTTTTTTGGGATTGCCAATAAACTTGAGAAAAACTTAAGTAATTTTTTGCGTAAACCAGCTATCAGAAAAAATATATTAAGTTTTCTTTATGAACTTTAAGTTTATTAAAAAGAAAGATAGATATCAATAATGATATATAATAATTTTTATGTAGAGGTTCCCTGAATATTATTTCAAGGGTTCCGCAAGGGAAAAAAGGTTGAGAAACGCTGAACTAGATAAATCAGCTGGTAGCAGGAGACTCCTACGTTGAAGGTCTTCAAAAAAGTATTCATGTTAATTACATTAATTACAGACATTACACACACACACACACACACACAGCAATCTGACATGCAGTCCGTCAGAACAATCTCAAGTGAAAGTAGACATGGAAGTACTGAAAGTGATGAATTTGTTAAACTTGGTAAAATACTGGTATGAGAATTGATCGCATTTCAAAAAGACCTGAATTTTCAAAAATGGGAAGTAAGTAAATAAAAGTTGTCTCTGTGTATTTTAATATGACATTTATGAGGTATTTCTCGTACCAGATTGCGTGTGCCCTAAGGATTTGTGGTAGTAAATAATCCGAATTTTAGAGAGGAGCTACTCGGACACTTACAAGCTTGAGAGTGAAATAAGATCTCTTTTCAAGGAATTGAAATATTTCGCTCATAAACGCGTGAGTTTAAAAATGTGACAAATCAGTGAAGGAGATTTCCTATATTTTGAGGGAGTGATAAAAGATTAATATTTCATAACCTATAGAATCGTTTAAAAACTTTTGTTGCAATATTCAGAGGGTGGATGAGAAAATACTGTTCGGTCACTAGCATAAAGTGTGGAGGATTTCTATGCGAGCGGTCGAACTAAATTTAGGCGATATCAGTTGTTTCCATTCTTGTTGAGTATTTTATTTTGAGGTGAGCCGTCATATTAAATGGAGGTTGCATTCAAATTTTGGTTGGTAGCTGCAGGGTGGGGCCCCAATCATTACGTTCTAACATTAGTCATTATTCTCTGAATAAGTTTCACGATTCATTAAGGTAAGTAATGTCTATCCATTGAAAGATGTTGCATGATTTGTGCTGCCATGATTTTATGCATTGGCATACAGAATGTTATCTTGAGACCTAAGGCCGGTAGTATTTAGTATCTCAATTTCGTCTTGTAAATTTGACAAAATCATACCACATTCTCTCTTTAGTGTCCCTTGTATGGGTGTGATTGAGTTGGCATTTTTCTTGTCCCATTTCCACATATTATAGGCGAATCCTTGCAGTCACCTATAAGAACGTTCATAAGATCGGTAGTTCTGCAAACTCTTCATATATCACCCTAGAATTGAGGGACGCATCTATGTAAATTGTGAAGATAGATGATGTGGAATCTATCGACAGTTGTGTGAAACGTGTGTAAATTTGGTGCGGAAAGATTCTTCTGTGCTTACTCCAAATGTGTGTATGCTTCTGTTAGAAGCATGGAATCGTTAATATAAGCTGCCGAGTTTCGCCTCCAACCGGAATATTGGCGTGGAAGATGAAACTGTAAATTCTGAGGTCTGTTGTATTGTCCTTGATCGTGATTGTAATCTAACAATATGTACGTCTCATGAGAAATTTATTTTCTAGTATCAGAGTTTTCTCAAAATTATTTGCAGCATTAGCGCGTTCTTCATGTTTAAGTGTTTCGGGTAAGATTTTGACAATATTCTTTGCATGTGGAATTCTTGTAGGAGTTGGAGTAGGCACTTATGTGCCATGTTACGACAGATGAGGAGGTAAACTGTAAGCGGTTAGCAAAGGTAAAACGTTTCAGATCTTAAATGAAGCTGAGGCAGAAGACAATTGCGTGGCTTCTTGCATTTATCTCAATAGGATTTGTGTGGAATTTTGTCGGGGTCTTAATTTCGGAGACAGCTAATGAATTGCGATACCAAATCATACAAATTGTGAACAAGTGCATGTCGTACATATTTATTCTCGGCATCATCAAATCATAATTGCTCATTTGCTGAAGTAAATATAGTTTTTTGCACAAATGATTTTATTTAATGTCGTAAAGTGTTATATATTATTTCCCACTCATTCCAACATGGAGGCAAGATCAGTAATCGCAGGTATCTATCATGCTTTGATAAATTGTTAACTTTGTATCACAGAACATCTAAAGATGCTCATTTTGAAACTTTATTTTTCGTGATGTGCCGCTAATTCTTGTTCATTACAGAAGATACTGAAATGCGGACACTTTGCAGGACTGGAAAAACCATTCATGAAACTCATTTTCCTTGTATTGTAATTGAATAAGTCTAGAGCAGATTGCTACCTTCAGTGAAAACCTTTAGATCTTTTTGTACATGTTTTGGATGCTTAAATGCTGAGAAAGTTCAGTGTTTGAATATGGGGTCCATCCGGGCATTCAACATGTTGTGTTTTTCTTAGAAGGGGAGTGTGAAAATTGATGTTAGCATCACCTCTTCATGACTATACAAGCATGAAAATATTTCTTCTGGAATGGCGGATCAATCATGGAAACCAAACTACGAATAACCAGCTCACGTAATCTGACGCGAGCAGTAGACAGTTTTTGATATTCAATATGACGTCTAAAGCTGAAGCACGACTCACATTATTGCATGCAGTGGTAAGATCTTTTACGTGTCGGAAGGTAATGTGAAGTATTCGATAATATTTTTACAGCACGTGTCCAGTTCGTGAAAGTTCTGGAAGCTAGAGAGTACTCCGAAGTATAATATTTGTGAGAGCTAGACAAATTTCAAAAAGAGCTAAGAATTGGTGACTCTGTCATGCTATGTCGGTCGAAACCCAAACTGCTCGTCACGCAGCAGCTCACATTCGTTTACCTCTTGTAGGAGCCTAGTTAATAGGATCGTCTCACGGA